CCGTCATGAACAGAAATCGGCGAAGTGGCCCCAAGGCGTTGAGCCAGCTCCGTGCGGCCGTCCAGAAGTTTGTGGAGGAGGAGGAGGAGGCGGCGGCGGCGGCAGTGTCGCCCTCCGAACCCAACCAGAGCCGGCCCCAGGGTCTCGGGCTCAGGAGAGGAAAAACTCGGAAGGAGTTGAGGAAGGCGAAGAGGATGGAGAAGAAGTGCAGGATGAGAGACTATTACTACAGGAAGCACCTGAACGGCAGCCCCGGGCTTGCGGCTGAGGAAGGGGGCGGCAACGACGCGAAACCCCGACCGGCCCAAGGGGAGGCGGTCGAGGCCCCTGAGACCCGATCCGGGTTGTTGCAGGGGAAAAAGGCGACGGCGCCACCGCGACCGTCCACCGGGAAGGCCGCGAGGGGAGCCAAGAGCAGACAAGCCCGGAAGATGGGCTTGCTGGAGGCTAACGAGGAGGAGGAGAGGGAGATCAAGCGGCTGGAGAAAGCCCTCGGACTCCACAAGCGCAAAAACAGAACTGGCATCCCGCAGGCCTTCACCAGGGACGGCCTGGATTACGTCCTGGGGCTCATCGAGCCCGGCGCCGCCGCTTTGTCGGGGTTGTACGAGAGTGACGGCGAGATCTCGGAGGCGGTAGAAGATGAGCTGAAAAACCCAGAGACTGTCTCCGACCCGCGTCGGACTGAGGATCGTGAGGAGGACTCGGGAGAGGATTCAGACTGCGGTCTGCAGAGTGAAGAGGGCCAGGAGAGTGCGATGGAAATGGAATCATCTCACAACGAGGACGATGGCGAAAGTTCCGAGCCAGATCGACTTTCGGGAAACGATGGGGTAGAGCAGTTTATGACTTACTCTTATAAGTTTTCCCAGCCACCATCAGTTGTGAGGAAGGTTCACCGGACCCGAAACGTTAACTCTGTTTTTGCCTTCACAGATGCTGCTAGACCTGCTGAGCTTTTCCAGCAACTTTGTTTTCGTATGACTTACAGGGAGTTGGTACGGGGTGAGGTTTGAATGTAGTTGTTTATTGGAGGGGGGGGGGGCGGAAGTAAAGATGACGAAAAGTTTGACCTGTTCATTAGGTCGTTCCTGAGCTGTTTCAAGATTTTCATTACCTACTAACATTCCAGAACACGTTCTGAGGTGTCAAGTCACTCATTCTCCTTTAGCTTCTGGGTTGAGCAAGGCTTCCTTAATCTTTACCTCATCCTTAATTTCACCCTTAATCCAGTTCTGAAGAAGGGATGTCTAACCCTTCTATACTTCCATTCCCTACCAGGACGGTCTGCGAGCTCTTGGCTCCTTCCACTACCAGAATCTTGAACACTCCCCATCTACCACCACTCTCTTCTGCCTGCCTGAACTTGTTCTCTCACTGATTTCTCCTTTAATTCATCTCCCTTCTGCCAAGTCAAAGGAGTGACAATGTGCACCCACATGGGTCCCAGTTATGCCTGCATCTTTATGGGGTATGTGGGGCAATCTTTGTTCTGATCCTACGCTGGCCCCCTCCCACAACTCTTTTTCTTAGTACATTGGCAACTACTTCGATGCTGCTCAATGATCCTGCCAGAATCTTGAAAAATTTGTTCATTTTGTCTCCAGTTTCTACCTATCTCTATAACTTTCACATCGTCCATTTCTGACACTTCCCTTCCTTTCATTGACCCCTCTGTCTCCATTTCGGGGAATGAACTGTCCATTGCCATCAGCTACAAAGCTACAGACCCCCTACTGCTTGTCACACCCTATGCCCTGTAAGGACTCCTTCCCATTCTCCCAGTTCCTTCACCTATGTCACATCTGTTCAGATGATGCCACCTGCTAAAATAGTGCTGCATGGCTTACTTCTTCCATAACTGTGGTTTCCACCCACTGTGGTTGACAGGACCTCCAACTGAGTCCGACCTATCAGCCATGCTTCTGCCCTTGCCCCTTCCCGTCTCTCTCAGCAGCATGATGTACTGTTCTATGTTCTATGATCAGTTTCCCCGCCCCCCCCATCCCCAGTCACCAATCCTCACTTTTCATCCTATCAGCCTCCATGTTCAAAAGATCATTCTCAGCCATTTCAGACAACTCCAGCAGAACGCCACCCCCAAACACATCTTCCCCTCACTCCCCTTGTCTGCATTTTGCAGGGATCGTTCCCTCCAGTCTATTTCACAACTACCAACACCATCACCCCCACGGCACCTTCCCATGTAACCGCAGAACCACCTCCCCTAATCACCATCCAAAGGCCTAAACAGTCTTTCCAGGTGAAGCAGCATTTCACTTGTACCACCTCCAATTTTGTGTACTGTATTCGCTGCACTCAATGTGGCCTACTCTACATTAGAACATAGAACAGTACAGGCCCTTCGGCCCACGATGTTGTGCCAAACTTTTACCCGAAACCTAAGGTCTATCTAACCTCCACCGCTACCTTATACTATCATTCATATGCCTACCTAATAGCCGCTTAAATGCTCCTAATGAGGCCGACTCCACTACCCTCTCTGGCAATGCATTCCACGGTCCTACCACTCTCTGAGTAAAGAACCTATCTCTAACATCTCCCCGATATCTACCTCCTTTCACTTTAAAACTATGTCCCCTCGTAAAAGTTACCTCCACCCTAGGAAAAAGTCTCTGGCTGTCTACTCTATTTATACCTCTGATCATTTTGTACACCTCTATCAAGTCACCTCTCATCCTTCGTCGTTCTAGAGAGAAAAGCCCTAGCTCTCTCAACCTTTCCTCGTAAGACCTTCCCTCCGTTCCAGGCAACATCCTGGTAAATCTCCTCTGCACCTTTTCCAACGCTTCCACATCTTTCCTGTAATGAGGTGACCAGAACTGGACATAATACTCCAGATGTGGCCGAACTAGGCTTTTGTATAGCTGGAGCATAACTTCACGGCTCTTGAACTCAATCCCTCTATTAATGAAAGCTAACACACCATACGCCTTCTTAATAACTCTACCCACCTGGGTGGCAGCTCTCAGGGAACTGTGAACATGAACCCCAAGATCCCTCTGCTCCTCCACACTGCCAAGAATCTTTCTGTTAACCCTATATTCTGCTTTCAAGTTTGTCCTTCCAAAATGAATCACCTCACACTTTTCAGGGTTAAACTCCATCTGCCACTTCTCAGCCCAGCTCTGCATTCTATCAATGTCCCTTTGTAACCTAGAACAGCTCTCCGCACTGTCCACAACGTGACCCACCTTCGTATCGTCAGCGAACTTGCTAATCCACCTTTCCACTCCTTCATCCTAATCATTTACAAAAATCACAAATAGAAGAGGACCCAGAACAGATCTTTGTGGTACACCATTCGTAACTGAGCACCATGTTGAATATTTTCCATCCACTACCACCCTTTGGATTCAGAATTGGCTGACCCTTAGAAGACAATCTGCCACATTTCTCCCTATCCCAAGCCTCCTTACCTTCTGTATGAGCCTACCATGGGGAACCTTATCAAACGCCTTACTTAAATCCACGTATACCACGTCCACTGCTCCACCTTCATCCACGTGTTTGGTCACCTCTTCAAAGAATTCAATAAGGTTTGTGAGGCATGATCTACCCCTCACAAATCCATGCTGACTATCACAAATCAAACTGTGCCTTTCCAAGTGATCATAAATCCTGCCTCTCAGAACCCTTTCCAATAATTTGCCCACCACTGACTTAAGACTAACTGGTCTGTAATTTCCGGGGTTATCCCTGTTCCCTTTTTTGAACAAGGGAATGACATTTGCCTCTTTCCAATCTTCCGGCACTACACCCGTGGACAGTGAGGACGAAAAGATCATCGCCAAAGGCCCTGCGATCTTCTCCCTCGCTTCCCATTGAATCCTTGGATAAATCCCATCAGGCCCGGGGGACTTCTCTATCTTCAACTTCCTCAGAATTCCTAGCACATCTTCTTTGCTATCATCAACCTCCTCTAGCCTACCTGCCTGTCTCACAACGTCCTCCTCTACAAGTAGGTCCCTCTCAGTTGTGAATACTGAAGAAAAGTATTCAAAAATGACTTCTCCTATCTCTTTAGGCTCTGTGCACAAATTCCCTTTACAATCCTTGATCGGCCCTACCCTGCCTCTGGTCATTCTCTTGTTCTGCGCATACGTGTAAAAAGCCTTCGTTACCATTGGTATCACGATTGACAGGTTTTCATTTTACACAATGTGCTCACTGTAAAAGTTTGCAGCTTTGTGTTTAGTTTCATTTTAATGGTACATTGGAGAAACCAAATGCAGACTGGGTGACCGTTTTGCAGAATAACTCCGGTCTGTATGGAAGCATGACCTCAACCTTCCCATAGCCAATCATTTTAACACAGTGTCCTCCTCGCATGCCCACTTGTCTGTCTGTGGTGGGCTGCCATGCTCCAGTGAATCACAGCGCAAGCTGGAGAGATAGCATCTCCTCTTCAGACAAGGCACTTTACAGCCTTTTGCACTTAATCCTGAATTCAACACCTTCAGATTGTGAACCAACTCCAATTTATTGCTTTTCTTTTAGCTTTACTTGTTACATTTGCTATCATCATGCCCTCTTTCCCCCTACCCCCACCCCACCCTAGTTGGACTGTCTGCTCTTTCAAGTCTGGCAGTTAGACACACCATTGTTCTGCTATGCTCACATTCTGATCACTTCATCTGAACTATCAACATCTTTTGTCTACCAGCACTCTACACCCCACACCCACTTGCCCCTGCCCCCCACCCCCAAACTAGCATAAATGCTGCCCCCTCCACACTTCACTTCAGCTCTGAAGATTCATCTGGACTCGAAATGTTAGTTTGCTGTCTCTCCACAGGTGCTGCCTGACCCCTTGTGATCTCCAACATTTGTTGTTTTATGAAGAAGGGCCATTTGACTCCAAACGTTACTTCGCTTTCTCCACAGATACTGCCAGACCTGCTGACTTTCTCCAATAGTTTCCCTTTTTGTTTCTTCATCCTTGCTTGCTTTTCTGCCAGCATTTCGATTTCCTCGATTTTCCCCTTGATTCCAATTTAAAACTGTTTTCTTTTTCAGGTTCACCTTTCATGCTTAGAACAGTGTTCGTTTTGTCTTCTCGTCAGTTTGAACTGATTACGTCACGCTTCCATTTTCTCACTTGAAAGCACTATTTTGACATTCCACTTCTATCCAGTAATATTGGGAGAGTCATAGCGAACCCTTCTCAACTGTCGACAGTCTCTGCACTTTTCTGTTCCCACTCCTTTTATGCTCAATTCAAAATTGAATTCAACCATTTCTTCATACCACATGATAACATCCATAAGCATAAGATTAGTTTCTATGCTGGTGACGTGATAGTATATTTTTACCATTTCCCTCTACCCAGAGTTTTACAGTGCAGGAGGTTGTCATTCAGCCTGTTGTAGTGTGATATTAGTAATTTGAATGAATTGTCCAATTTAGTCCCACACCAGCATATTTGTCTTGCTCTTGAATTGGTCTTGTACAGTATCATATTCAGTTGTCTTTTCCAGTATTTCTCATTTTGTTCATTTGATGTGAGCACCGCAGGTGAAACCATTGTTTATTGCCCTTGTGAAAGTGAGCTGCCTTCTTAAACCGCTGCAGTTTGAGTGTAATTTGCTGAAGGAATGGCCCTAATATGAACTCTTGGGGAAACCTATGACAGAATTCTGTCCAGTCAGCAAGGCATTCTTTTGCCATTTTTTTTGTCTTCTTTCTGTTGGCCAGTTATGTACATTAAAGGCAGCAAAGCGGAATTGAGGGTTATAAGATCAGCCATGATCTCATTCAATGACGTGCAGACTCAATGGGTTGAATGGCCTACTTCTGTTCTTACATATTC